GGGAATGACACTCAAAGATCCATGTGCAAATCAGCTCTTGCTTTAGGAATGCTCAAGGTAGGAAATAGGATGGCAGGGTTGGGAAGGTGGGGCCTTGAAGTAGGGCCAAGAGTGTGGGCATTATGCTGTAGAGCTTGGGAAAGGAGAGGTACAGGGGCTATCAGGGGGTAGCCTTAGTATATCCGGGCCTTGGAAAGAGGGCTGTGGTTAGCAGATCAGGGCTTTGGACAGAGGGCTATGATGGCCCTCTGATGTGGGACAGCAGAGTGACCCTGTAGACAGCCAGAGGCAGCAGCACTGATCTGTGGGAGGGGAGAGAGAAAAAAGCAAAATCTCATAAGCTGTTTAAACAAGAAAAACAAAATCCTGCAGAACATTGGATGTGTGGCATGCAAGAGAAATAGGAGGGAGGAGGCCAGATTCCACCTCCGAGTGTCCAGGCTGGGAAGATCAGCAGAATCAGAATAGGATCTCAGTAAATTCTCAGGTGACAAAGTCACTGCAGGGTGTTGAGGGAACCCTTAGCACTGTCTGAGTGACACCAAGAAAGCTCACTGTATACAAAGCCAGCTCCTGCTTGAGCTGGCAACAGGACATGAATGGAGGCCTGGAGAATGCCTGGCATGGGGAAATTGCTCAGTTAATGTCATTTTTCTTTCTCTCCCCACAGACTCTGCCTTTGCCCTCCCCCCCCCCCGCCTCATTCATTCATGTGTTCATTCATTCATTTGCAAGCCCTTATCAGAGCCACACCCTAGGCTCTGGGTTCTGATGGAGAACTGTGAGAGCAACACTGCCTCACTAGACTCCCAGGCCTCATCCTGTCCTCAAGCTGCCTCTTCCTCCCAGATATGGCTAGACCTAGGACCTGCCTTCTCCCCTGTCCCTCTGGAGAAAACCTTGTTGCTCCTGCTCCTGAACTCCTGCTGCAGCATCATCCTTGTCATCCTGGCTTCTAGACTCCCTTTCTCAAGCCTGTCCTCCAAGCAGCCCAGGGTGTCTCTGAAGCTCTACACTTGGAGACTTCCATGCCCCATCCTGATAGACAAAATGCTCCCTCAACCACATTTTTCCTTGTCTCTCACTCAGGAGGCAGCAAAGCTAATTTAGTTCACCATGGGGGAAAGAAGACACTGGGTAATAGATTACATGGGAGAAGTTGGCACTCTACTGGTCTTCCCAGTCTAGCTCCCTGGCTAATAAGCAACCTTTTAACCCTAATCCTCAGAGAAACAGACACTCAATACATACTTAGCAGAAATGGCTGGCATTTGCTGAGCTGTCTCCATTTGCCACTTGACCTTGTTTCTTTGTGTTAGTCATCCTGCAACTGGAGTGGAGGGAAGGGGAACTATGCTCCTACCCCTGCACCAAGTGCTAAGGAGCACAGGCAGGTAAAGCAAGTCCCCCACCTCACACTGTTACTCTAACCCTCTGTAAGTGCTCATGGTCTAATTACAAAGCTGGCTCAGAGCAGCAAGTACAAGGATTTGAACTCAGCATCCAAGACAAGAATACTTGGAGATGAGTCTTGACATACAAACAGGAAATCCCTGCTCACCCAGGCAAGGGATAGATCCTTGAGTCTGGGAGTGCATTTCAATCGCTACTTAATTTTTTTCTAATTATGTGCATAATACGTGTATGTCTGTACATGAGTGCAGGTACCTGCAGAAGCCAGAAGAGGGCATCAGATCCCTTGGAACTGGAGGTATAGGTATATTGTCAGCTGGGAATCAAACTCAGGTCCTCTGCAAGAATAGTACCTGCTCTTAACCACTGAGCCATCTATCTCTCCAGCCCCTAATCTCTACTTTATAAATGGGAAACTGAGGTTCAAATAAGTACAGTAAATTGTCCCAAGCGACACAAGGTAGCAAGTTCCTCTGAGGCTGAGATCTATGTAAGCAACCAAAGAAATAACAACTGCAATTGCTAAGTAAGTGTTCTCTGGTTACTGGGCACCCTGACTGTCCACATTCCTTCTGATCCTTGCAGTGTTGACTGGGAAGAAGCTGAGACCAGCTAAGAGGTGGTACCTGCCTGGTCCAAACACAGCAACTGTAGAGGGGCCATGCTCAGTTCCCAGACAGCTCAACTGTGATCTGTCTTCAGCTCCTGGGAGCAGAGAGCAGACAGGCCACACCAGCTCAGGAGTTGCAGGAGGCTGGGAATTGAGGTTGGTTTTTGCACTGAGTTGCCAGGGCCGTTGAGATATTGTATGTCCCTCAGTAAGGTCAGCTCCCAGCTTCCCTGCTAACTAATAGCTTGCCCTTCCTGCTCCTTGTCTGGGGGAAAGAACTGGCACTCGCTCAAAGCTTTTAACACTGCCAAGAATCCTGACGGGGAATGACCCAGCCTGTCGTGAATGGAGAAGGGCAGGGCACAGCCAGCCAAGGCAGAGACATCAGGGGAGAGAGAGCTGAGCTGGCTGGTCATATCTTCGTGTGGCCCAGCAGTCAGCTCTCAGCTGGAGGCTCTGCGTGCCCTTTCCTCAGTTCTATTGCAGGCGACACCTTACCTATCTGGTCCCCTCACTCCATCACTCATAGTGAGCTTTTAAAAGCAAGAACATCACCTTAGTTCCTCACGGTCCCCTGTATCCTGCCCCTGACATCACCCTAGGGTTGTTTCTTAGGGCTTCTGTGACTAATTCCACCCAAACAGCACATGCTTCTTCTGTTCGGCTCAAGAGGCCTAAAATCAGATGGCAGGGCTGGCTCCTTCTGGAGGCTTCCAAGGACCATAGCCTTCGACTTGGCCTTTTCCAGTTTTCAGAAGTCCCCTGCTCTCCTTGATTCATAGGTCCTTTCCCACGCTTGCCATGTCCACCTTCCACTTCCAGGCTCACATCTCTGCTGCCTAGTCACCCTTTGTCTCCCTCAGACGGGACACGCCAAAAGCCCAGCGGGACAGCCTAGGACCATCCTCCACATGGGCAAAGCCCATTTAACCCCACTTTCAGGTGACTGGATCAAGGACCTATGGCCAGCCTGCCACAAGTCCCAATTTATTCCCTGGCATTAGAACATCCAAGACCCTTCATGATTGGTTCCCTGGCCACCTTCCTGCCCTGCTTCTTTTCCTCTTTCCAGGCCCCACCCACCTCCTTCTGTGCCCGAGGAAATGATCATTCACTCAAAGTATAATTCACTCATTCAAAAGCATTTGCCAAGGCCTTGTTCGATGCCGGTGCTGTCACCAGGGCAGTGAGCAGAGCACAGTCCCTGTGCTCAGGGGAGTGGTGCATCCCACAGAGCCACCCTGGACCCCTGGTACCACCTAGCCAACTGGTGTCAGGCCATAACTGTTTCAGATGTGGTAGAGCTAGGACTCCAACCCAAGCCTGTCTGGTCTCCAAGCCTAAGCTCTAGGCTCTTCCCACATGAAACATCTGGACTTGAACTTGGCTCTGCTTTTGACCAACACCTCAGTCCCAGTCCTATGGCTGCCAAGGCACAGGGAGTCAGTGACTCTTGCTCTGCAGAGCAAGCTGAGAGGCTGCACCCCTACGCAGAGTTCTTTCGGCCATATTCTTTTATTCACTAGCTCCCCATAATCTCTGGGGAGATAAGATTCTTAGGCACCTAGCCTATCAGCACTTCTCCTGAGTGTGCCTTTCCTCATTCCTGCAGAGCCCATGTACTCATGTGCCTGACTTGGCCATGACCGGCACCTCCCCCTCCTCCTTCCAACCCTCCTTTTGCCAGGGAGTCAGAGTCACAGCCAGCATCCTTCCCTCTAAAGCCACACAGGCCCTTTCTAAAAGCGATGTGATTATAGTTCAACCCTTCTGCTGCTTTTAGAATGAAATCCAAAGTCTACCCAGCCGCCAAGACTCTGTACTGCCCGGCTCCTAACATGCACGAACCTCCTCTCATGCACACATTCAGCAACTTCCCAGGCCATACCTTGTCCCACCCCATGCTTTTGGCTTGTGTTATGTCTGTTCCCCTAGACTATCAGTTACTGGAGGGCAGACCTTGCCTATGCTGTTCACTGCTGAATCCCTGATACCCAGCTCTGTGCCTGGCACATTGGTGAATGACCAAATGAATTCTTTGTTCTAAGTCCGTGAGAACCTTGAGAAGTGATTCACGTCACCTCACTGTAGGCATCAGGAAACCCAGGCTCAAAGAGGGACAGTCAGGAGCCTGGGAGAATCAGAGGTAGCTTGTTCCCTTTTCTTAGACATTGCATCACAGTGGGCCCTCCTCCAGACCTTGGTGTCAGGAGAGGATCCCCCAGCAGCATCCAGGGCCACCTCTGAGTCACAGAGCCTCTGGTAGAAAGTGCTCTCCACCCCCATCTGTGTCACAGATAAGCCTGGAAGAGTGAAGCCACAGGTAACAGCATAAAAAGTGAATTTCCAGGACTGCTGTCCAGAGATGCTTCTCAACATCCTGTCTCTGTTATGCCAGAGGAGGGTCTTATTTGGCTTTCTGTTTCAAGTTCATTCTTTGGAGATGAGGCTGCATTACCATGGGTGTGCCAGAGCTACGTGTCTGACAGACACACTTCTCCAGAAGAGCTACTACTCAGAAAGGAAGTTTTCTTCACTGGCCTAAACTTGTTGACTGATTCAAGAGCCCAGATGTTGACTTATATTATCTGGCTACTGGCCTAACTTTTTGGCATGTTGATTTAGCATTTC